GGAAACCCCATGGGTCAGTTCTACTCTGTCCTGTAGAGACGCCATGAGTCGGAATCAACTTGACGACAGTGGTTTACTATTTTTAACTTTTAATAATAATCACTAACATTTACTGAGTAATTACTAGGTGCCAGGGACTGTGCTGTGGCCGCATTTAACCTCCCAATGGCCCTTACATCTCTGTCTCCATTTTACACCTGAGGAAACTTGAAGCAACTTGCTGTATTGCCCTGGGTAAGTCCCTTGTCTAGCCCTCTTATCTGGAAACCAAGGGGGGCCGCCGAGCCTCTTCCAGAAGCCTGTAGGTGAGCAGAAGTGATTCTGCAGAACAGCCCAGAATGCGGCCTCAGTGGCCAGGGCAGAAAGGGGTCCTGACAAGAGGAGAGTGAGGAGCACCCAGGTGGTGTAAATGGTTAACGCCCTCGGCTCCTAACAGAAAGGTTAGAGGTTCAAGTCCACCCAGAGGTGCCTCAAAAGAAAGGCCTGGTGATCTACTTCCGAAAAATCAGCCATTGAAACCCTGTGGAGAACAGTTCTACTGTGAAACACACGGGGTCGCCGTGAGTCAGAGTTGAAGTTGACTTGCCAGCAGCTGGTTGGTTAATGGTTGTGAAGTAGTTTATTCTTTTTATTGCTGAGTAGTCTTTCATTATCTGGATAAACCACAAATTGTCGATCCGTTCACCAGCTGAAGGACATATGGGTTGTTTCCAGTTATGGATGATTATATAAAGCTGCTGCGAATGTTCACAAACAGGTTTGTGTGTGTGGCATATGTCATTTCTCCCACCCTACCCCCAATTTTTTGTTTCTATAGTGAACCAGTATTATTTATAAAACTCAGAATTTTAAAAATGCAATTTAAAGCAACAATGAGATACATTTTCTGCCTCTCGAACCACTAAGGATTTTGAAGGCAGTGATGCTCAGCTTGATGGGGGGGGTCTTTGTTTATGGAGTTGCCATGAGTCGGAGTCAACTCCGTGGTCATGAAAAACCAAACATGTTGCCGTCGAGTCGATTCCGACTCATAGCGACCCTATATGACAGAGTAGAACTGCCCCATAGGGTTTCCAAGGAGCGGCTGGTGGATTCGAACTGCCGACCTTTTGGTTAGCAGCCAAGCTCTTAACCACTGTGCCGCCTAATGGTAACTAGTTAGTGGGAAATGCAGGATTTGCAGAAACAAGGAAAAACTGCTTTCCTGGGGGATAGTGGGGCTTCCATGGTTGCCCTCAGGAACGGACGTGAGGGAAGTTCCCTTGAGGAAGGAACCACTTGCTCCACCCACTGCAGCTGACAGCTCACCTGGTTCCCCAAAGTAGTGCTGGGAAAATCCAATCCTGGGAGTGAAAGGAAGGCCTGGGAATATTTCTCCAGGGACAAAAAGCTTTTCTGAGCCCTGCGAGCTTGCTCTAGACCCCCATAGCTTTTTCCCACCCTCCCAATATCCCTTGGTTGTCATTCCAGATACCTGAAGCCAGACATGGACAAGAAATCCAAACATAAGACAGCGGTGAAGAAGAAAACGCTGAACCCAGAGTTCAACGAGGTATGAGAGCCACTGGAGGGATGGATTTGGGTTTTGGAAGGGTCACTGTGGGCGTTGGAGGGTGGTAAGAGAGGACGAGGAGGGACCCGGCAAGGGCTAGGAAGCTTTTCAGAGGACAGAGCTGACAGGACTGTGGCCATGTTGGATGTGGCAGGGGAAGAAGGACATGTGGTGGAAGCCCTGGGTTCCTCGCTGAGGCTACAAGAAGATGGTGGGACCCAGGAGGGGAAGTGTTAGGGAGACAGGGATGAACTCTGTGTGGGACATGATAGCTGAGATGCCTTGGGGGCCATGGGAAGGTCTGGGGGCCGCTGGATACCCAGGTCCTCGGCCCCAGGGAGTGGGCGCAGCTGGAGATAGAGACCTAGGCATCACAGCCATGGTAGGGGGGTCCCCCAAGAAGTAAGGAGGGGAAGAAGAATAGAGGGGCTTCAGGAGAGCCTGAGCCACACCAACAATTCAGAAGTGGGCCGAGGAGGCTGGGGAGAAGCTTCTAGAGACTGAGGGGGATACCAGCTGTTGGAAGGTCCCAGAAGCTGGTAGGAGAGAGGGTTCCACAAGAAGGGAGTGGTCAGCAGAGTCAGATCCAAGAAAGGTCAAGGGCATCAAGGACTGCTAAGTGCACATTGGGTTTGGCTGTTCGAAGGCTCTTGGGGATCTTGAGAACAGAGTCAGTGACAAAGGGGCAGATGGGCTGGAGGGAGGGGGCCCCGAGGACCCTGGCTGAGCTCTCAGGCAGATGTGCTCTCTCTGTGAGAGCCCACCCATCACCCACCACCATGCACTGACCTTCCCCACCTCAGTTCATGCCGTCCCCACAGCTCAAGCCCCTCCTGGCCCCCATGCAGACTTTGGACCCTGTGGCACTTGCCCTAACACCCCCGTCTGGCCCCCAGGAGTTCTGTTACGAGATTAAGCATGGGGACCTGGCCAAGAAGACCCTGGAGGTCACCGTTTGGGATTATGACATTGGAAAATCCAACGACTTCATTGGTAAGAGGACACGGTGGTTATCCTTGTGGCTTTCTGGGGTTCAGCAAAGGGCAGTGGCCCCAAATCAGGCCACAGGCCCCCCTTCCTGGCCTCTGGGGTGAGCTGGGGCCATGGGCCACCCGCCCTCAGACTGTGAGGGACCTCAGACATTGTCCAGCCCAACCCCATGTGACAGAGAAGGAAACTGAGGCCCAGAGAGGGAAAGGGGCCTGTCAGCGTCACACAGCACTCTGTAGGAGCAGGGACAAGAGATGGTGCTGGTCCGTGCCTCGGGCTGCTGGGCGGCCTGCCCCATAACTAAGCCCTTGTGGCCCCGAATTCCTGGTGGGCTCTGCACAGTGTAGCTGCCCTGGCTCTCTCTCCCTTTTTTCTGCGCTGACTCCTTGGCCCAGCACGTGCTCCCTGCCCGGGCCCTGACTCGGGGGGGGCATGGAGGCCAGAGCGGCTGCCACACTCAGAGCCCAGTGGGCAGGGCAAGAATCCAGCCCAGACATGGACTCTGGGTGGGGTGACTGCGGGGGTCCCACTGATGATCCCAGAGCTGCCCCTCCCACCCCCCCTGCAGGTGGCGTGGTTCTGGGCATCAACGCCAAGGGCGAGCGCCTGAAGCACTGGTTCGACTGCCTGAAGAACAAGGACAAGCGGATCGAGCGCTGGCACACACTGACCAACGAACTCCCAGGGGCCGTGCTCAGCGACTGACGCCCGCCTGCGGCTGCACCCGCCCGCTATCCCGGGCCCGCGCGGGCCTGCACCTGGGCTTCCTTAGCTGCCACCAAGAGCCACCACCCCCATGTTGGGGGAGGTCATGATGCCTGCTTGGACACAGAGCCACTTCAGCCCTGCGTGGAGGTCATGGAGGGCCCAGCTGCTCCTAGGGACGGGACAGAGAGCCGGGCCCTGGGACCTAAGGGGGCCAGCAGTGGGGCCAGAGGACCTTGGCCTCAGCGCCCACCCAGGGGAAGGCGATGGGCCATCCAGGGGGGCTAGGACCCTCTAGAGGTCAGCAGTGAGTCACAGGAGGGCCAGGCTGAGAGAATCAGAGTGCGGGGCACCCTGGAGGCCAGGAGAATGGGGAGGAGAGACTGTGGGCAGGGGCAGACGGTACTCTGAGGGAGGTTTGTCCTTCGATGGAGCCAAAAGGAGGATCTGACTACCCAGTTTATTTCTGCGTTCCTGGGCAGGCAGGGGAAGGGTGGCCTGAGAGCCAGGAGTCTGGTGGAGTTCTAGAAGGCTCTCAGAGAACACGGGCAGATTGGCAAAGGTTTCTCTCATTGAACCCACAAGCCCCTAGGGATGAATAAAACGCAAAGCCTGCCCTCAGGAGTTGGGAACAAAACACTGTAATAGTGCAGTAGTGGATGAGAAGTATTGCAGGTGCTGCTGACTGCTGGAGGGCAAGGAAGGCCTCCTGGAGGAGGTTATGTTTCTACAAGGCCTTGAAGGGTGAGTGGAGGTTTCCAGGCAGACAAAGGGGAAGGGCAGCCACAGCGGGGATGGTCTACAAAGGCCTAGAGGAGAGAGGAGATTGGGCCAGGGTTGTTGTGTGGTACCCAGGGTCTTTCTCTGCGAGGGCAGGTTTTTTCGGACAGGAGTGGGGCGCAGGGCAGCAGCGCCCAGCCCTGCCTCTACCCCAACCCTGGCTGCCAGGCCAGTCTGGACTCATGGCAGGGCCATGGGGACGTGGCGGAAGCGCCTCAGAGAAACTGATGGAGCAATGTCAAGTCCAGTCCTAGACGTAGCTTTCCCACCTTGATCTTTCTCCACCTGAAGGACCTCAAGGATGGATCCTGTCCCTCATTCCTCCAGGATAAGTGTCAGGTCAGCTGCAGCTGAGAAGAGAAAAGGGTCCCTATGGATGAGAAGAAGCAAAAACTTCCTCCTCGTCCTCACCCTCCTCTCCCCCTCCCTTTTTTCTCTGGCCTCCTCAAACCCTGCCTGGACCTTCTAGGTTCAAGGCTGAGTATGGGGGGGAAGGGGGCAAAGACAGTTGCCCAAGGCATCCTGGCCCTGTGCAGCCACCGATGTCCCTCTCTGGAGTACGTGGTAGCGCTCCCTGGGCTTGTTTCCGGGAAGGCTTGTGGGGCTGGCTCTGCCCTCCAGGAGCTGCGACAGAGAGAGAAGGAAAGGCCTGGTGGGCCTCTCTGCACCCTGAGTCAAAAAGCCCCCAAACCTTTCCCTGCTTACCCTTCAGGAACGCTGGATGAACAAGTACAGAACCAGGGAATTTCAAAGCTGTAGAGCCCCACTGTGTTCAACCCACTACTGCACTAATGGGGAAACCAAGGCACAGAGAGGGAAGGTAGCCTTTCCAAGGCCTTCCAGCCCTAGCACAGGTGGGACCAGGATCCATGGCACCTGCCCCAGCCAAGAACTCCAGACACTGCATTTCGGGCGGTAAGGTGCTGGGTTCACACATGAGAGGTTCCTGCTAGCTGCCCGCCTGGGGCTCACCCCACTGCTGCCCACCCATGTCAACACCAGTCTTGGGGCTCACGGGGGCATGAGGATTAGACCTTCTGCTGCAGACACAAGGCACATCACCATCCGAGGTCTGGGGTGATGATTCAAATCCCACCAAGTGCCCATCAGCCCTTTCCTAACGTGCAGGGGCATTAGGACTCCAGCCCCTACACAGTACCTGGTGACCTCTGTCCCTCATAAAGCCTCAGTTTCCCCATCTTTAAGAAGGTTATGCATTGTGGTTAGGGTTCTACATGCATTGTCTTAATGAAGCTTCACAACCTTATCAGGTGGGTTAGATTGTCATCCCTACTTTCAGGTGAGGAAACTGAGGTTCAGAGAGGTTGAGAAATTTGCCAAGGTCACACAGCTGGGAAGGGGTGAACCAGGATTCAAACCCAGGTCTTCTGACTGGCACATCCTCTGAAGGTCTGGGGGGTGGAACTGCCTGGCCCCCCCTCCCTCCCAGCCTGTTGGCTCAGCAGAGGTAACTCAGGTGAAGGCTCTGTAAGATCTGGTGCGTAGTGCAGATGTGGGGCCTCCCTCGTCATGCTCCTGCCTCCTTGCCCTCTACCTGGCTTTGAAACCAGCCATGCCACTTCGGGCTGCTTCCAAGGGACCTGCAGCCTGGGCCCTGGAACTCTGCCACCCTCTCTGCCTCAGTGGCCCAGGCCTTGCCACTGAAGGAGGCAGGCAAGAGTTCCTCTTTTCTCCACACAGCTGGAATGAGGGAACCTGCTGGAGCATAAGGGGGGAGATAGTCTGTTTTTGAGGTCTTTTGGGTCTGCAGGAGCTCTGGCTAGCTTTCTAGCTTTACCTTTTCAGAGGCTCATTCAGAAAGGAGCATCTACAGCCTCTGTAAAGACGTGGAAATTCTGGACAGTAAAGCTAGACAGACCGTGAGCTCCACCTGGTACAACTTCCTTAGTGGTCACATGGGGAAATTGAGGCCTAGCCAGTGGAAGAGGCCTGGCTGGGACAAGAACCCAGGACTGCTGGCACCCAGCCCAGGGTCTTGACTGCCCCAGGCTGTGCCAGTGTGGGGTTTGTCCTGAAAGATGGTCCAAGCTGATGGCAGGGAGGCAGGCTGGGGAGGCGGGGCTTTTGACAAGTCAGCCCAGGTGGAGGGTGGGGCGCTAGGGCAGTAGCCCTCCCAGGGAGTGAAGGAAACTTCACAAGTATCCTGGCACTGTTCCGGGCCCCGTGTAGATTGTATCTACAGTGTTAAAGCACTCTGAGAAGCTGCAGAATTGGCTCTGCCTTTGACCCCAAATTGGCATCTTCTGATCCATCAGCACCACAAAGTCGGGAAATCTGGCGCCAAAAAAAATTTCATTCCAACGTCAGGTGTCAGTAACCAGGGAGTCCCCGATGCGCCGCATCCACCTCCCTCCCTGGTCTCCGCCCCGCCCACCGCCACCACCAGCCAATCCCCGACGTGCCCGTCTTCCAGCCCTGAAGCGGTAACCTCCTGACCTCTAGTGGCAGGAGCGAGGAACTGCACCTCCCCGGCCTGCCGTGCATGTCCTGCCCTTTGTTCCTTCTCCAACCGAGTGAACCTCCCGATGCATGGACTCTGGCTGTCGTCGACGCAGACTCGTGCACTGCTTAACACCGTTTTGCTACCATGTGACAGCTGCAGAAACCATTCTCAAACTGCAGCCCCACAACACAATTTTGTACTTTTCATCCAACCTACCCGAAGGTGTCCTTTTTAAGTCTTATTTGTTAATATTTATAATTACATATAATCCGAAGTAAATGGAAACGTCATTGCAATCCTATGTCTTGGGAGCCTCTCATTTTAATAGATATGGGTGGGTGGAAATGATAATTTGCACACCACCTCATTTACTCCACCCAGAATGCCTTTGAGGTAGGTTTCCATGCTAAACCAAAAAAGAAAACCCCAAACCTGTTGCCTTTGAGTCAGTTCTGACTCATGGCGACCCCATACGTTACAGAGGCGAACTGCTCCACAGGATTTTCTTGGCTATAATCTTTATGGAAGGCCTTTCTGCTGTAGCATTCCTGGGTGGGTTTGAATGGCCAGCCTTTAGGTTACCAGCTGACTGCAAACAGCTTGCAGAATCCAAGGACCTGTTTCCATGCTACAGATGGAAAAACTGAGGCTGTTGTTATTGTTAGTCGCTGCTGAGTGACTCCGACTTATGGCGACCCCATATGTGTAGAGCAGAACTGCTCCATGGGGTTTTCAAGGCTGTGACCTTTCGAAAGGAGATTGCCAAGCGTTTCTTCTGAGGCACCGCTGGGTGGGTTCGAACCGCCAATCTTTTGGCTAGTAGTCGAGCACTTAACTCTTTGCTCCACCCAGGACTCCAACTAAGGTTAGGGAGATTAAAATGTGTGGAATCATACAGCTGCCAAATTACAGAACCAGGATTCAAATTAGGCCCCGAGCCTCCCAAGACCATGGGCTTCTCACACCAGAATCAGTATGGCTGTTCTATCATCATTCATTCAACAAACCACTGGGGAGTGTTCACGCTAACGCCAGACATGGACCCAGACACATGGGGTGGATTCATCAGTGAACAAAACAAAGACTCTGTCCTTATTGAACTTGCATTTTAGTGCAAGGAGATAGCCTAACAGTCCATACGATAAATGATACGCTAAAAGGTGACAAAAAAAAGATGGACATGAAAGCATCAAGTGGGCAGAGGAGGCTGTATTTAAATAAAGTGATCAAGAGGGCTGCAAGAGAAGGTGACCTTTGAGCTAAGACTTGAAGGGAGGGAGTGAGCCGAGGGGATACCTGGGGGGAGAGTGTTCCAGGCAGAGGGAACAGCCAGTGCCCCTAGAGGGGGTGGTGCTTGGCATGACAGGAACAGCAAGGAGGCCAATGCTGCCAGAGCAAGTGGGGCAGGGCGGGGAGTGGACAGCAGGCGAGCAGGGACCTGGATCATGAGATGGAGAGCTGACTTTGGTTCTAACAGGCCACCCGGTAGAAAACAAATCTGTAGTCTGGGGCAAGTGATCAGGCCCAGTTTTGAGTCTTCATCACCTTGGTGGTGATGGGCCAGCATGTCCAGGATTCAAGGCCCAAAAGATGTCCACAGCAGTGGTGGCAGCTGGGTCCTAACCAGATCCTGCTGTGGAATGACTTTGGCCAAGGTTCTGGCCACCAGTGTCCCTTGGCCATCACCTATGTGCCAGCCCAATGTTCCAGGCCTCTGCCCGTTCTCTGAGATACCTGATGCCCGCCCCATGCATTC